ATGACAACAACCAACCTTTCAACTCACCGATGACGTCTTCGCCTATTTTTAGGTGGTCGGTCGATTGTGAAAGGTCGGTGAGAGCTTTCATTTTGTCAAATGAGGGTATTTTTGGCTTTTTAAAGGTTAACCTATATTTTGACCCTTTTTTTTTTTAATTCCATTTTCTAGTCAAAGGTCATTTTGGAATTACACAACAATGGGAAGGTCATTTCCTCCTATTTCCTCCCTAGCTGAAAAAGATCCCAGTGAAAGGTTCAGCTTTAATTTTATATCTTCATTAATTTCTTCGCATATACTATCGATGCATATACACATTATATGAACTGAGTTTTGTATTTGATATTCAATAAGATGGTTTTGTGGTTCTATTAGAATTATGTTTTTCTTTTTTAGATATTATTTTGAGCTGTTTTCTTATATTTGCTGTAAATCTGTGATTTTTAGGGATAATATGATTTGGGTTTGTGTTTGATTAACTTTACCCCTTATTGCTTTTTTTTTTTTACTAGGAACAGATTAAACATGTCAATTTTGCATTATTATTTGTGTGTAATGATTATCTTTTTGTGTCTTGTTGTGAGTATGTTAAAATTGAATTGCTCTTCTGGAGATTCGTTTGGTGTGCAATGTGTGTTCATGGTATTCTTGGTGTTTCCTCTTCCTTGTTCATGCTGTGTGTATATCTCATGTATCTATCCTTGCAGGGATTTCAAATTTGGTTTGGGTCTAGTCAACTTCTGTTTGATTCCTTTCCTGATTTTCTCCTCTCGAAATTCAGAGCCAAGCTATTAGTAATATATACAATTTTTCCCAATTGACTTTCTGATAAATATATCATTTACAATGATCATGATTTTTCTTGTTAAATCCATGAAGGACTACAATGCCACGATCTAATTCCATTGGTCTCCTTTGTTGGTTGAATCTAATTGCGATGACTTAGCGAACCATCGAGTACAAACTCGTATAATTAGAGTCAAGGCAATTGAAAAGCATGCTAGGCAATGGACAGATGCTGATATACTCATATTTGATTCCTTTATGTGGTGGTTGAAGCCAAAAATGACATTTATGTGAGTACATTCTGTGAAACTATGAATGTGGTGCAATTCTTGTTTCTTGTTTCGTTTTCTTTCCCATAAACGGTAACTTAGATATGATATACTTGATTAGATGGGGATCATTTCGAAGCCTCGATGCAATCTACAAAGAAGTCGGGATGAGGCATCGTCGCTTTGAAATGGCTTTGAACACATGGGCAAATTGCATGGTCCACATTAACAGAAACAGAACAAAGTTGTTCTTTTTGGGCTCCTCACCTTTTCACTTCCTGTATGTTGATCAATTCTCTTTTGGATACAGTGAAAATTAGCACAGAAAAATGGCAAAAACTCTAGTCAAATAACATGATTATATAATTCATTAACACTGCAGAGGTGAAGATTGGGGCATGGATACAAGTCGAATTGCTATAATGAAACTGAGCCAATTTTTTATGAGGGATAATGGGGAAGTACAACGGATCGTGGAATGATGCACATAGTATTTTATTTATTTATTAAATTTGGATTGCCGTATATTTTTAAGTGTTGGTTGACT